TAGGGCTGGGGGACACCCTCATGGACCGACATTCCAGCTGGGGAGATGGATGCTGATCAAATCTGGAGCCAGAAGCCATCTCTCTGGGTTCATTGGCTCCTGGACTTTGTCTCCAGCCTCTGGTGGGCAGGGAGCGGGGCTGGGCTGCTGAGAGTCATACACTCAGAGGTGTGCCTCCCTGAGCTCGCCTTTGCAGACCCCGCTACTTCTGAGCACCCTAACTCAACCTCAGCATTTGTGGCCACATGATCGCTCGTGCCTTGGCGAACAGGTTCCCGCTCGCCGGGGCATCAGGTGCCACGTCGCCACTGTCCAGGCGGTGTTAAGACTTTGGAGGGCTCCTCTCCTGGGGATCCTTTCTCCTTTGGTAAAGAATCCACATGGTGTGCTGCCACCACCCCCCACCGGGCCTTGCCGACATCTTGCAGTTGATTTGGCGTTTTAAATCGTCCACATGTTCCCTGCCAATAAGACAACTAGAAGCCTGGTATTTCAGGTTTGAAACCCTGTCTGTGCGCAAAAAGGGAGGCACGGAATTTCTGAATCAAGATTATCTCACGTGGCTTAGGTCCAGGCTCCATCTCTGATGTTCACGGCGTCTGTGTTTCAGAAAACACAGGAGCTCCGCCAAACCCCAGTCCAGAACCTTCATTCGCGAGTTGTTGTGTCCCCCTCGAGAGTCCTGCTGGGGAGTGAGGGGGCTGGGGAGGGGCTCCTGAGTGGCGTGGAGGGATTCAGGGAGGAGAGAAGGGGCGGGGAGTGCTGGGCCTGCCGCACCTTCCACTGGAGGTTTGAAGCAGGGTCTACAAGAGCCTTGGGCAGCAGGAGGGCATGATGCAAGGCCGGGGGCCCGGGGTGGGGTAAAGGGAGGGTCCCGGGGCTGAGGCCCCAAGGGCCACACTCAGAAGTAGGGGTGGGACAGAGAGCAGATGTGACCCGAGACTGGGAGCTGACAGCTCCGGCCGGGGAAGGGCCACCGCCTGGCGCTGGACTCTGCCGATTATTTATTCTCTAGGTCCTGCCTGCCTGTCTGGGGGCCCTGGGAGCCCCTGTCCTCCCCTCTCACAGCGTCATGGAAAAGACCATTTCCCTCCTGTTCCGCATAAGGGAAATGACCCCTCTTAGGGCCAGTGGGGGCCCGCGAGTGCATCCCTCTGCCGGGCCTGGGCAGTGCAGGGAGTTTAGGGGGTGGGGCCTTCTCAGGCAGCCCTCCTCCAGGAAGGGTGCCCTCTGAGGAGGCCACGGGGCTCGCTGGCAGGAATGCTCCTGTCCCCTGGGTTGGCCTTGTAAAGCATCCATCCTCAGGGCTGTGCTGGCGCCTCAGGACTGCCACTGCTAGGGGACCAGCCTCAGAGCCCACTGCAGTCAGGAGACCCCAGCTTAGAGACCGCCTGTCCCTGAAGGAGGCGGGGGGAACACAAGCAGGAGCAGGGACTCCACACATGGGGGAGAAAGACGGACAGCCCCACAGGCATCACAGCGCCGGAGCTTGGCGTCCTTTCGTACCCAGTCTGCCCGCCCCCCCGGGGGGATCCAGTGAAATGGGGGCAGACTGCTTATCCTCTTTCTTACCAGCATCCCAGCTGCCCATCCTGCCCCCTCCAGCGCGTCCCCACTTTGCTAACGCTCCTGCCAGTGAATCCTTTCACTGGTTTCCCTTTGCCCACCTGTGGATATAAACCAAATCCTGCCCCAAGGTCTCCACCTCCCCAATTCTAAGCTCCTCCCACTCTGAACCTACTTGACATTCTCTGAGCACACGATGCTGGCTTTCTTTTCCAGACCTCAGCTCATGCTGTTCCCTATGCCCTCTTGCCTGAGTAACCCGTCCTCACCCTCCAGTCCTGTGTGGATGTCCTGTCCCCCAGGAGGCTGTCCGTGGTGCTGGGTGGCCCCTGAGGCTGTCAGGGTGGGGCATCCTCACCTGTGCTCCCACAGCAGCTCTGAGCTTCCTGCACTTGACTGTGAATCGTATCTGCTGCTTCTGTCCCCAGGTCCCTATGAGAGCACGTCCTCCCCGCAGGCGGTCACAGCAGCTGCACTTTGCACGTTCATGTCCCTGGATACCCAGGCACTCGCGCAAAGTGTGGCACACAGTAGGTGCTCATCTCATGCTTGTTGACTGAATAAATGTAGAGGGACTGCTGTGATTCAGATCCATCTGTGTTTGACTCTTCCTGATACCAGCTGTGTGACCTTGGGCACGTGACTTAACCTCTCAGAGCTTCTGTGTTTGCATCTGTAAAAGGAACCTTCCTTTGGCAGTAGCCGCTGGCGTTCATTAAGCATTTGTTAAGTCCTTGCACCACATGCTCCTCTGAGCTCTTTGGGCTCAGTAGCTGCTCTGTGCCTCACAGCTGTCATTTGAGGCAGCGCTGGCACTGTTATCCCTGTTGATGGGGTACGTTAGGGAGGCCGGGGAGGCCCAGCTGGCTCAGGCCCCCACAGGCCAGGGGCAGTGGGCTTGGAGTCTGTGCGTTGGCTCTGGGACTGTACCTCCAGCCTTGGTGCCGTGACCTCGCCTGTCCAGATGAGATGCTGGGTGTGGTGGAAACTATCGGGACTGTCTCTGCTTGGATCTGCGTCAACTCAGACCCCAGAGCACCCTGGGGTCCACTTGGACTAAAGGAAGATGCAGCAGAAAGCAGGGACTTGGAGAGTGAGACAAGGCTGAGCTCAGATTGACCCCGTACATCCCTGTGCTTCTCTGAGACTCAGTTTTGACATCTTTAAAATGGGGCCATTCACATCTTGTTCATAGAGAAGGTTGAGTGCCCGCTGGGAGATGCCTAGAGCATGGTTTGGGCTCTGTGGATGTTACCTCTTACCCATTCACATGCAAACACATTGCCCTGTACTTGTGTCTTCTAAAGCTAATCTCCCCCCCAAGTTAGGGATGGGCTGGTAGTCAGCAGAGTTCTAGGGGGAGTGACTTCCTAGCTGGTGTCTCCCCCTGTCACCTGCTCCTTGGGGGAGGTCAGGCCAGGTTTCTGTCAGGCTGAGGCCTCCTCCAGCTTTCTCTGAGGCTGTGCCCTTCGGCCACCCTTTCCTCCCTCCTGCTGCCCTCCCCGGCTCCAACCACCACTGGGATGTGCCCACTGACCCTGGATGGACAGCTGAGCTTGGTGTCTGGCCTTCCCCAGACCCAAACCCCAGCCTTGCTAGAGCCCTGACCAGCTGGGGGCCTGGGCACATCACTGAGCCTCTTGGAACCTCAGGATCTTCATCTGTGAAACAGGAATGATCAGGCTGGCCTTGCCTTTCTCACAGGAGGGGTGGTATGTGTGGGCCCATCCCATGGACTAGAAAGTGGGGGCCCCTGTGACCGCAGTGGTGCACCCACCTTGCAAGGGACCTCCCGCTTCTGGTGTTGACAAGGGAAACAGCAGCTTCAGGACCGTGGGCCCTGTGGGCAGTGCCCTTCCCTGAGCCCCTGGTCTGTGCCAAGCGCTGTCCGAATGTGATCGTGTTGTAACCCTGGTGGTGGCCCATTGAGGAGTCGGGGAAGGGCACTCTCGTTTGCTGAGAACCACAAGCCCTGGGTTGTGTCTCCTCCCTTCCTCGAGGCAATCTCATGGGGCTGTGATGGAGCCCATTGGGCAGTGGGGAACTTAAGGCTCAGAGAGGGTGGGCGACCTGCCCCATGTCACACAGCTGGCAGGACTGCAATTCAAATTGTGGTCTGGCTCAAGCCCGGTGCTGGTCCCAGGCCCCCAGGCTGCATGCTCAGACCGGGCTGTTAATGATGCAGGGAGGCCTTCCGCTTCCTTTGAGGACTCCTGAGTGCAGTCGGCCAGCAGATGCAGCAACTCAGGGTCCAAAGCAAACAGAAGAGAGGAGGCCGCCCTCGCTGTGCTGGGAGCAGAGGGAGCTTGGAGCCCATGGTGGTTTGGGACAGGCCCTCCCCTTACAAGGGCTGCACAAGATTGCACAGGGCGAACCCAACAGGCTGGAGTCGAAAATGCGGAAAATGAGGAACACACTCTGTGGAAGCCAGGAGGACACGCAGGCGCCAAAGCTGCGGGTGGCCAGTGCTGGGCCCCGCAGGACAGTGTCCGGGGTTGCTTTTCGATGTCCTGCTTAGTCCACGTGAGCCAGGGAGGACCTGGGTGTGCATCTCTACCCCCAGCCTGCTGCATGTTCTCTGGCAGCTGTCCCCGTTTCTCTGAGCCTCAGCTTCCTTATCCAGTAAATGGGACCAGCAGCTACTGAGAGGTCAAATGCTATTCCCAGCACAGGCCATGCCCATGAAGCTTCCCTCTTCCACACCCCGCCCACCCAACCTGTTGATCTCAGAAATAAATAGTTGCCCCGAGGGCCCTTGGCTCCCAGCACCTCACAGCTGGGAGGGTCTGGGGGACCATGAACATCAGCCAGCTCCTTGTGCAAACGGGGAAACTGAGGCTCAGGAGGGAGGAGAGCATTCTGGTCTCTGCAGTCTGGAAACCTTTGCACTCGACTCTCAGCTTCTTTATCTGAGCTGCATGACAACCCTGTGAAGGAATTCCAGACCAAGGGACATTGCCCCATGTACCCAGGAAAGAAACTGAGACGTCCAGAGAGCCTGGTGCCCTTCCCCAGCCTTTACTGGGGTCACCCAGTGAACTGAGGCATCACTATGTTCAGAACTTTGATATTTGATGGTAAAACAGCTGGCACAGCAGCTGACACATAAAGGTCCAGAGTAGTGGTGGCTCCCTTTATCTTCCCCCAGCACGTCCTGCCAGCACTGTCTGCACCATCAGCACCATCCTCATCATCCTCACTATGATATCACCATCACCACCACCACCATCACCACCACCATCACCACCACCATGATCACCATCATCACCACCACCATTATCATCACCATCACCACCACCACCACCACCACACCATCATCATCACCATTATTACCATCATAGCAAACTCCATTTATTGAGCTCTCACCCTGTGTTAATTCATTCACGTGAATGATTTAACACTCACCGTGAAGCCCTTTGAAATGGGTTCTTTTATTGTGCTGTATTCTCTCCCCTTTACAGAGGGGCTGAGTGACTTGTGAAGACTACACAGCTGGTTAGAGGTGGGATCATGGTTTGAGTCTGCAGCCTTGAGCACGGCGTGGCTCAGAGTCTCCAGCCAGACAGGTCTTCACGGTTGACAGTTGCATCTGTTCAGATTCATTTACTCGTTAGCCCGTTTATTCGTTTGCTCACCCAGCGCTCATGCTGCCAGGAGCTGTGCTGAGCCCTGGGCAAAAGCTCTCCTGTAGGACTCGGGCGGGGCTGGTGGGCGGCCTGAGGTGGGGTCTAGTTCTCGAGACTCTTGGAGCCTGAGAGTGTGTCAGTTGGTGGGCTGGAGGCGGGGGTGGGGAGGCTGACAAGAAAGCCTGATGTTGTAGAGTGTGGGGGTAGTCACTCTGCCAGGACAAGAGAAGGACAGGGCCTAAATTAATGAGGGAAGTCACCAGGAAAAGGCTTCTGGCGCTGACCTTGAAAGGGTGAGGATGGGGGTTGGGGAAGGAGAGGGGAGGACGGGCCAGTGAAGAGGGCTGGGCTGGTGCCCCCTGTAGCTCAGGGCTTTGTGACTTTCTGGGCATCCCCTTTGGTTATCCCCCACTGACGCCCGTTTCCTGTGCCCTTGGCCCCTGCCCAGGCCTGGTGGAGCGAAGGGTCAGGAAGGGAAGGGGTGAGGCCTGGCGCAAAGGGAGCATACCCAGACCCAGAGGGACCCTGGAGGCACAGGTCAACTCCAAAATCCCGCCAGGGAGAGTGGACGGGGGAGGGAGTTCAAACTTTCTAGAGAGTGTTCCGGAAGGTTCGTCTAGTGCCTTATGAAGTCCAAAGTATGAAGGCGGGGAGGGAGGAGACAGAAGCAGTGGGGCCCCCTTTGTGCTGGCACCACCACCCATCTCTGCGTCCTTATGTCACAAAACTCCCTCAGGACGCCTGCAAAGAACGTCCTCGCCTCTGTGTTGCTCAGATAAGGGACCAAAAGCCCAGAGAAATGAATCGCTTGCCCGGGCTGCCCAGGGAGGGCTCCCCCCGTGTCTGACTCCAAGGCCCGGGCCCTTCCCATCACAGCACCCCACCCCGCCCCGCCCCCAGCCCCAGGAGTTAGAACTTTCTGGAAAGCTCCTGGGGCCCCCCACCCCTTCCCTAACCCCCAACGTGGGGCAGCAACCAGTGGGGCTCCGCACAGATGCTGTGAAATTAGCAACTTAATTTTGGTTGTCAGGAAATCAGTTGAGGGAAAAATGTGTTTTCAAGAGATCAGTAGTTTTCTTGCAAACCAGCATGATAAAAATAAAGAGAAAGGCCAAGCTGCAGGGAGAAGGGCCGTTTTCTAAATTTATAACAGGGATTCATTATTCGTGGGCCACATTCGAAAAGGCCAAAGCCACAGAAAGGAAGTAGGTGTGGGTGGGAAGGGCTTGGGCTGGAAGGGGGGCCTTCCCGGGGAGCCAGGCAGAGGGACTTGGCCCAGGGAGGGACCTGCTGACCAGGGAAGGGGCCGAGGGGCTGCGGACGTCCCGCAGCTGCGGACACAGCTGGGCTTTATAGAGCAGAGAGGCCCGCGCTGCCTCTCCAGCGCTGCCGGGCTGTGCACCTGGGTACCAGCGCCTGCGCAACAGGTTAGTGGTACCTGCACAGAGTAGTGGGACAGAATAAAACTCGAGTGGGGGCTCTTATTGTTGTACACGTGACCTAATTTACTCTAAGTAGCACTGCTGTGAATGACTTGGCGTTCTGTAGAAGAGGACACTGAGGGTCAGAGTGGTAGAGACAGACAGCAGCTTCTCACGGCTGGTTTCTGTGGCTAAGGACTCCACATCCTACCTTGCCGTGTTCTGACGGGCCTCCTTCCTTTGGTCTGGCTGTTTGGTCCTTTAGGGACGGGGAGAAAGGATGATGTTGTGAGGAGAGCTGGGCGTCTCAGAGGAGGGTCTTGTTCGGCCCTCCTCACAGCCCTGTGGGGTTGCTGCTATTGTCAGATGAGGAGACGGAGGCTCTGGGAGGCCTGGGACTTGCGCGGCGCTTCATAAACTAGGGGGGCCCCCAACCCTGCTGACCCCTGGCACACTGAGCGGAGGACAAGGCCGTCTTGCTACACTTCACATCAGGAGCACCCCAGCTCCTCAGCCAAGAGCCTGACCGCGGTGAGCTCGTTGCCTGGCTGGGTCCCTGACAAGGGTTACAAAGGTCACACCATCACCTCCAAAGAATCCAAGGTTGGATTTCTCCATTAACCCACAGTCGTGGTTCCTGCCGCAGTGAGGGCTTGCTCCGTGCCGGGCCCTGCACTCAGGAAGTGACATATTTCATCCCCACCCGACCCGAGGAGACAGGTGCTTCCATGATCCCACTGCACAGAGGGGTAAGCTGAGGCTCACGGGGGCAGTGACTTGCCCTAGGTCACGGCCTAGTGGGAGAGGCAGATCCAGACCCCATATAGGTTTCCGTGCTATCCCGGGGGTGGGGGGAGCGTGCCTACAAACCCTTCCATGAGCCAAAATGGCATAAAGCAAAGTAGCGATTACCTTAGGACACATCCTGCACAAAACACCTCGGGACGAAGCACAGAGGCTGACAGACCTGATTCTCAGCTCTGGCGGAGACGAGGGCCTGGATGCTGAGCTGCTGAGTGTCGTTTCTGGGTGGTGCTGGGGTGCAGCTCTCACTGCCCTGGGCGTGCTGCCTCTGACAGCTCGCTGCAGGACGCACATCGAATGTGATTTTTGCTTTTCACCTCTTTTTCTGTAAAAAGAAAGATCCTCTTCAGATTTCTTTTGGTTCGCGAAAACGGGTACTAAGGTGGATCTTTCATAAAAGTGGAGTAGCGTAAAGCAGACCTTCAAAGGCAGAGGAGATCTGTGCAGTCTCTTCCAGAAAATTCACTGTCATGGAATGTAGAAGCCTGAGGGCTGCCAGGAACTTTGTGGAAAAGGCAGACAAATGCACCTGGGAGGAGGGGCAGTTTTGAAACACAATTTTCTATGGTTCCCGCCTGGCTGGGCGGCAGGCAGACGAGGACGGGGGAGTGTGGGGGCCTGGTGTATTCTCAGCAGGAGGCAGCCCGGGTGGGTGGCGAGCCGGCCATCGCCGCCCCCGGGTAACCCTGGTTTGCAGGCCACGTCATTCAGTTGTTCATTAATTAGACAAATAGCCCTGAATAGCCAGCATCTCCAACCACTGTGTGGACCTTGGTGGAGGACAAGATGGACATGACCTCCAACCTCAGGGGCTTTCATTCCAGCCGCCCTCCCCTACGCAGCATGCAACCCCGACCCTCACCTTCAACTCAGGCCCCTCCCGAGGGCTCTCTGTGTTCAGGCTGCTTGTCAGGCAGCAGGAAGTACCTGCAGGCTGGGAGGTAACACCTGGAGGAGACTCCACCCAGGAGGGCAGGAGGAGGCGTCCCTGCCCCAGCTTCCCGACTCCCAGCCTGCTCCATGCCATCTTGCAGGGGACCGGCAGCCCTGAGCTCTCCTCGTGATTCTTACTGACGCACCCTTTCCCGTCCCACCTCCCTGTTCCTCTACAGGCACCTCCTGGGATCACCTCCCAGAGGACTGTCCCACGCTGGAGTCCTCATCTGTTGCTGGGGTCCCGGCCTCAGACCTGAGGACAACTGGTGACATGATGGAGAGGAACTGACCTCACATGGAAGGCCCGGGAGGCCTCCCGGGGAAAGACCACAGGCTTAGTCGGGGTCCTGGGCACGTCTCAGTGACTCAGGGAGGACCCTGGCGGCCGGAGGGCAGGGGCGGGAGGGCTGTGTCCCCCATGTCCCACCGGGTGTCAGTTTCAGCTGCAGTGGCTCCAGCCTCAGTGCTCAAGCCGGCCCTGTGGCAGCCTGTGCGGAACAAGACCCGGAACTAAACCTCGCGTTCGTCAGACCCAATTCCGGCCACGTGCCAGGGCCCGTGGTCTCCCGTGGAAACTCCTGCATAAATGCCTGCAGACCCGGCCCGCGGCCCGCCCGCCCCTCAGAGCCCCTGCAGCTGCGTCAACGTGCACGCGTTAGTTCGCCCCGGACCCTCATCTCACCTGAACCCTGGGAGAGGCCCCGCGTGTCTCTCCAGGGCCCTGAGATTTGTGCTGCTGGGCGAGCCCTTCCCCCAGCAGCCCCCGCCGCCGCGGGCCTGGGCCTCTGTTTCTCCCAGCGGGGCCCAACCCTCCGCTATGACCGCCGCCAGCCCACGTGGCCCCCAGCGCTCCGGCTGGAGCCTTTCTTCCGTTCTTGGTCTTGGTTCCCAGGTGTAGGTAGCCTTCACCTTTTTATCTTTCTCTTTCCTGGAGGGAAAATAGAAGCAGCGACACATCTGTGACGATGTTATCCGTCGTTTGTGGCCGCCTGCTTCCCTCCGAGTCGGTCGCTCTGTTTGCTGGTGGACGTGAAGCCGTGAGCGCCCAGGTCGTGGGGCGCGCGTGCAGTTTGACCACCTGGCTTTCGGGCGAGGGCGCTGGGCTGGCGCGGGCGGTCAGGACTGGCGGCGAGCCTTGTGGGGCCCTGCGGCTGGAGTGCTTTCCTCCGCGCCAGATACGCCCGAACTGGACCCAGGGCAAGACAGCAGACTTCTCTGCACCCCAGTGTCCCCACGGACAAAGGGGACCTTTGTGTTGTCTTACTGTGTCTCTGTGCCTTGAGACAGAAGGAATCTGGAGATGTATTTCCCCTCCTTCCGCTTTCTCTCTTTTGAAAGTACGTCTCGACCAGGGAGATCTGCCCCCGCAAAGACGCAATTAAGTTCCTCACATTAATTGCGCACCTGCCCGCGGGTTAGTGATTTTCTTCATCTCCACTGTAATTACGTTGGAAGAACAGTCACCCCGATCTCCTTGGAAGGAGCGTGGGCTCCGGCGGCGAGCGTGGGTGTCTGACGAACCTGAAATCAAGCTCCCTGTCTCTGGACCCGAGGTGGACGCTCCGCCCTTGTGCGGCAGCCCAGAGCGGCTGGCGTTGTCATCGTCCCATTTTACCAGCTGCATCCTCGAAAGTGAGGGGATGGCCTCTAGCCTGTCTCTGGCTCTTGAGGCCCCTGTGTCCGCCAAAACAAGGAACGTGTGTTGTGAGGTTAGAAGCAGAGGGGCTCTCCAGGGGAACAGGGAGAGGGGAGGTCGGAACAAGGCCTCACAGGGCTCACAAACCATCCCTAGCTCTTGCGTCTGAGGACGACTTCTCCTTGTGGGGGAAGAGAATCCTGTGGCCATACTGGTCCCCATGAGGCTGGTCACCAATTCTGAACCCTGAGCCGAGCAGCAGTCTCTGTTCTCAAAGGGACAGTGTGTGTGAATGCAAATGAACGCCGTCAAAATGTGGAAATGGGACGGTCAGGGGTCTGATCAGAATGGTTCCTCCTGTTTATAAGAAGGGGCTGCGTGAACCCAGTTGTTCTACCTGTGGGCCCACCCCTGGCAGCCTTCCCTACTGTCACCGCATCCCTCCCTGTGACTCCCACTTACAGGTCTGTCTCCCTTCTGGCCCATAACACCCTGAGGACAGGGAGCACGCGTGGGGTGCAGAGAAAGGAAGGGACTTGCCCAAGGCCACTTGGCCAGAAGGGGTGAAGCTGGAATTTAAAGCCAGGTTGCCCAGTTGACCCTCGTGCTCAAGATCACTGTGCAGGAGGAGAGGCTGGCCCTTCGCCCTGAGGCCACCCACTGACCCAGTTTATTTCGAGATACAGGGAGAGATACACAGGTTTATTTCTTCAGCCTCAGCAATTGAGGGAGAAAAGAACACTATAAAACCATTAGGATGTCAGTGACCCATGGGATGGGCAGCCTATTTAAATGCCATTTTGCTTTTTTGAAAAAAATATCTGGCTACTCCTTCATGTCTCAGTGCATTTATTGGACAAGGTCCACCCGATTTCATGTTTT